GTAGCCATGAGATTTGCTTTGACTTTGCTCAGTCATCTTATTTTTGCTTGAAAAGAAGCCAAAAATTCATATGTCTTCTGTGAAACTTTCCAAATTAAAAACAAACCGACAGACTGCATTTCCCTGAACTGTCTTGATTCCTCTTGCTTTCATCACACTTTTCCCAGGCCTCATCCACTCCAGCTGGAAACTTCAGCCGGGCCCCAGTTAAAGCTGAGTTACAGAGAAATAACCACTCTGATCTTCCTGAAGGAAAGCTGCGGGGGTCCTTTTGTTCTTCCTAACGCTCATGTAGAGAGAGCATGTTCAGCTGAAAGTATGCTTGCCAGGATGCTTGAAATTGGACTCCGCTTTAAATACTCAGAAATCTCTGTCTCTAGTCTACCTAGTGGTTCCATCTCGCAACATCCCACAAAATCTTCTCTCTGCTCTGAAGCCGTTTCTTTGGCTGTTCTCCATTGCTGTGCATTTGCCTCCGGTTTAAATACTCACAAATCTCTGTCTCTAGTCTACCTGGTGGTTCCATCTCCCAACATCCTACAAAATCTTCTCTCTGCTCTGAAGCAGTTTCTTTGGCTGTCTCCATTGCTGTGCATTTGCCTTTAAAGAGAAATACTCTGTTTCTTCATATTTCCCATGAACAGCCAAACACAACACAAAACCACCACCTTGAGACCCAAACCATGTACCTCTGTAGGATGGACTGTGACCTTAGGTACATGGACCACTCTAGATGAACCTTCTCACTTTACCTGTTACCCGGATTGTCAATAGCCCCACCTAGCAATGATCCTTCTCTTTTGGAAGAAATTTTTATTTGGATAAACATTATACAGACTTTTAACCTTCTGACTTTTTTTTTTTCTCCTTTCTTTTCTATCTGTTCTCTTTCTTTCAACCCTTTCTCTCATTTCCCTTAAGACAATGCACATTTTCTGCTTTTATACAGAAGCTAAGAGCTTCCAATGTGTCTGCCACACTATCTGAGTTTTTCCTGGGACACATCACCATGCTAGCTTGTCTGGGCTTTGGGGAGTAAGAGGAAAGTCATTGTGTCCATGCCGAAAGCTTTCTTTATTAAACATTGTGCACCAAAGGAAGTCACATCCATCCAGATGCAGTTACAGATGCAATATCGTTAGGATTTTAGAAGACAGACGTTCAATGTGTTTATCTCCTAGCAGTTTGGATTAAGAACCTAACACCTGAAAGAGTGAGTGCCCTCACACTTAACTGACTCTTTTCACTTCCCAGTTCTATGATGGGTCTTTTTCTGGGCTAATGTCTTCGCTGCCTCCGTTTATGCCACATAGAGAAAGAAACAAAAGCCCAGTTAAAACGAACTGATTAAAGAACATGGAAACTATACTCGTAAAACTGCCCTTTTTAAACAAGAAAATTGGTGTTATGCATCTTTTATCTCAAGCGTCTATTTTACAGATGAGTTTTCTAATCACAGTGTGCATTGAACCAAAATGAACCAAGCTTGAAGGCAACTCTCCTGCTCATTTATTAGTATTATTTTTTTCTTTCTCATTCTGGGAAAACTAGATTTTTCCTTACTCAAGTATTCTTTACCCTTCCAGGAATGCATCATTGGTTTTTCTGAGTGACCATAGACAAATAAGTTTCTAGTAAGTTAATAAAAATGTAGTTTCTACATTTTTTATTGGTAAATTGAGTTTATCACTGCAAAATAAGGTCTGTGTGAAGCATATTAAAGATGTGTTCTAAGTGCCCAGATATTTCTTAGAGTTTTTGCCTAAACCCTTCTCCCTACATGCCAAAGTAGATTTTGTAATCTTTTGTTTTAAAAAATATTTAAAGTGGAGCAGGTGCGGTGTGGCTCATGCCTGTAATCCCAGCACTTTGACAGGCCGAGGCGGGTGGATCACCTGAGGTCAGGAGTTCCAGACCAGCCTGGCCAACCCATAGAAGAGATGGCTAAACCCCGTCTCTACTAAAAATACAAAAATTAGCCAGGTATGATGACAGGCGCCTGTAATCCCAGTTACTTGGGTGGCTGAGGCAGGAGAATCACTGGAACCCAGGAGGTGGAGTTTGCAGTGGGCTTAGATCTTGCCCACTGCACTCCAGCCTGGGTGATAGAGCAAGACTTCATTTCAAAAAAAAAAAATTAAAGTGTGGAAAATGTTTCTTTTTCTTTTTGTAATTACAGGAATATTCTTTTCTTACTCAAAGTTAAAATTCTAGTTGAAAGTAAGAGAATGCCAGCTCGAACTAGCCTAATTGCAAAGAGGACCCTTTTCCTGGAAAAGGGTTGGGCATTTCACAGAATCCAACATAGATGAGAATAGTCCAGCCCTCAGGAAGTTCATGGGTGCAATGAAGTCTCAAGAACAGCAGGGACCCACCACACAGTGTTGGCATGTCCCTTTTTTTGCGCATGCTGCGTGTCAGCATATCTTTTTATTCTGTCTCTCTTTCACTGCAGACAAACTTTCTTATGTCTGAAAACATGACCACTGAGGAATGTCTGGGTTTTTATTTTATAGTTTCAGCCACCAAACAAAGGCAACCCTGAACTTTCTTGGGCCCCGAAACAAAAGAACTACAGAATAAGCACCTATGAGTGTGCTTTGTTCCGTTTTTCTTTCTTAAGGCAATTTCTTTTTTGTTGGGGGAGGGCAGCAATAATACTATCATTTGCTCATTATGGAGATCTCTGTGTGTGTTTACATGTGTGCTAGGTGGACGGGGATGGCATGGGGCAAAAGGAGGTGTGGAAAGGTCATGGAAAAACTGGGCAGCTTCAGAAGAGGAAATTATGGCAAAAGGGAAACTGCAGGAGAAGCAGTATTTCAGAAGCAGGGAGATCCGGGATGTGAAAAGAAAACCAGGGGTGTGGGGACAGGGGGCATTCAAAACAGTGCTAGCCCCCCAGGATCTCCTCAGGACATGCCTGGAGAAAGAGATCCTTACTTGGATGAGAACATCAAGGCTCTAAGTTTTTGGAACTTCGCTCCGAGGACAGCATAGAGCAGGAGAGGATCTCTGAGTTACCCAAGTGAGAAGAAGCCTGTGGCCTTTCCTGTCCATCAAGACCAGGAGAGTGGGTGGGAATAAAGAGGAGAGGTGGAATTTGAATAGAGAGAGGACCACTGTTTGTTCGTTTGTTTGTTTGGCTGTTTTGTGTGAAATACATTCTATTAGCAAAACTATGGGCCCTTCATTTAAATCTTTCCCGTACTTTAGGCTATCCTTGAATACCATAAGTTATCAGCAAGCTTCCTCCCAAACATAAGCCCCCGTCAGCACAATGGTATGTTTGCTGTGCTGAGCAGAAAATTTCTAATATATGTCTGAACATATGCAGGAATATTAGTTTCTGGGCTTTGAAACAACATTGCTGGAGGCTTCCCTACCTATATAGGGCAGTCAGAGTAAATCTCAATCTACTTTGGCTTGCCTTCAGATTCTTAGTGCTTCACAAGGAACCCATTTATTGTATTACATACCACTTCTGTAACTTCATTGTTTGCACCCTCTTTCTTTTTAAATTCACGGAGTTTATTCTCCTATACTCTCTCAGGGCCCTATAAAATTGTTTTCAAAAATTATGGTACGTATCATTGTTTTTACTCTTAATTTTATTCACTACATTTACTGAGCACCAGCCAGGTTATCTCTTAATGGCAGCAGTATAGAGGTGCAGGAGAATAACCCAAAGGCATCATGTAGTAAATGGGATTTTGAACTCAGATACATGTCCCCTAAAGTCTGTGGATTCTATATGGAAGAGATAAACGTTACCTTCCACTCCCCATTAGCCCAACTAATTCTAAAAATTTTTCCTTTCCACTATTTTTTGAAATTTATAAAGGCTGTGTTTTATTTGATTGTGTTCGTTGCTTCGTATGTTAAACTTTTAACTTAATCTAGTCCTGGGTCTGTTATAATCACTTTTGTCCACATCATTTGTTGTAGTATTTATGATAGTCCATTAGTTTTTTTTTTTTTTTAATTTTTTATTATTATTTGTACTTAAGTTGTAGGGTACATGTGCATAACGTGCAGGTTTGTTACATATGTAACTTGTTGCCATGTTGTGTGCTGCACCCATCAACTCATCATATTACATCAGGTATAACTCCCAATGCAATCCCTCCCCCCTCCCCCTCCCCATGATAGGCCCCTGTGTGTGATGTTCCCCTTCCTGAGTATAGTCCATTAGTTTTATGTTACTACAGATTTCCTGAATTTTCTAATGTTGACACTTATGTCGATTCACCATTATGAATGGCATCATTGTGAACAACACTCATTAGCATATATATTTTTCATATTTGAACAATAGCCTTAAGAAAGGGTCACTCAGTGTGATTGCTGATTCAAATTATATAAATATTGTATAGAGTTTTTTATGTGTGTCGGTAAAAATATTTTTCAGAATAGCCATATTATTTTGGCCTTAAGTAGTTGAAGCCTTTGTTTGAAGATAACATTTATACTTTTACAAATGATAAAGTATCCTTGCATTTTAGATGCCACAAGTATCATCTTTTCTAATTTCATGTTGTCTTTGTGCAGTTTAAAATAGATACCTGGTCATTCCCAAAAAAAGAAGCATGAGGACATTGACCTCAATTATCTGCCTCTCCTTTAAAAATGCAAAACCATTAAAAAAATGTAAAATGATGATCTTATACATTTTATTTTTTGGTAAGTGAAAAACCTTACAAATTCTGGCCGCTTCAAATGAACTTTAAGTCAACATGAATTTGCCTCAATAATAACATTCTTAACTTAAATACCTACATCAGCTCTCAGACTTACATTGCCCAGTAATGCAAGTGATTCTACCTTTGTGGTAAAACTGTAATACTCATCCTATTTTGACGTCATTCAACCTGCCTTAGGTATGGGAGTATTAGCAAATCAATATCTACTATTAATTGAGCAGTTGGATATGAGGCATTTTTGGCTTTCCCCTTTCTGTCAATTGATTTGGTTCTTTTCATTTATGTTTTCTTCATTAGGTGTTTGCCAAACTACTGTGAACATGGAGGAAGCTGCTCCCAGTCCTGGACCACCTTCTATTGTAACTGCAGTGACACAAGTTACACTGTGCCACCTGCCACAACTGTGAGTAAATTGAGTATTTCCCCTGGGTGGGATGGACAAAACTCCAGGAATACCATTGTTAACTTCAGAATCTATTAGCCATGGGGCAGGGCAATGTTTATGTGACTCATTCAACATGTGTTTTTAAGAGGTTATTATATACCAAACACATTGGGCACAGAGGATACATGGATAAAAGCCATATTCTTGGGAGTTTATGGTCTACCAGCAAAACAGGCAGAAATGAGATCATGACAACACAGTTGAATAAAGTTTAAGGTGGAAGCAAGGGAAGTGGCTGCAGGGCACACAAGAGGGAGCTATTAAGTCAATTGCATTGTCTTGATGAGTTGTAGGCTGCTGTAATAAACAAAACTAACATCTCTGTGGTGTAAGTAACAAGGTCCACGCCATGCCTGTGTCACAAGCCCATCAAGGCATGACCAGAGGCCCTTCTTCCACCTTGTCCTCATTCTTAGATGGTAACAAAGTTCTATATCTGGAAGGTTGCTGTGGTAAGAGGAAACACAGGGAGCGAAAGCACAGGGAAGCATGCAGTAGCTTACAAAGCTTCTACTGGAAGTAGAAAACATTACTTCCACTCACATTCTATTGGCCAAATAAAGCCCTGTGGGCACACTCAACTTCAATAGGGCTGAAGTGCAATTTTTACCATGGAAGGGGAGAAAATGGAACCTGAATATTGGTGATAAGTGCTAATGACTGCCTGTCAAGCCCAGGTTAGGGAGACTTCAAATAGAAGACCTGAGCTGATCTTGTTGTAGAAATATAGGAGAAAACAAAAAACAAAACAAAAAAAAAAAAAAAAAAGAAAGAAAGAAAGAAAAAAAGGATACTCAAAGCAAAGAAACAAATGGAGACATAAAGCACAGGGGTCCTCTGCTCTGTGGAAATCAAAATTTTCCAATAGTTCCAGATGGACTGGAGGGTGCTGAAAATGAGGAGGAGTGGTAAGAAGTGAGGACAGAGTAGGCTGGAGTATACACAGGATAAGGATGAGGGATAGAAAACAAGTAAAGAATATGAGCCTTCATTTTTTTAAATTAATTAATTTTTTTTTTTTTTTGAGAGAGAGAGTTTTGCTCTTGTTGCCCAGGCTGGAGTGCGGGTGGGTACGATCTTCGCTTGCTGCAACCTCCGCCTCCTGGTTTCAAGTGATTCTCCTGCCTCAGCTTCCTGAATATCTGGGATTACAGGCACCCTGCCACCACACCCGGCTAAATTTTGTATTTTGGTAGAGACGGGGTTTCACCGTGTTGGCCAGGCTGGCCTCGAACTCCTGACCTCGTGATCCCACCTGCCTCAGCCTCCCAAAGCGCTGGGATTACAGGTGTGAGCCATTGGGGCCCCGGCCCAGCCCTGATTTTTATAATTGTATAGTCTTATGAGACCATGGGTGGGGGAAAACACATGAAAAAAGTATAGAAAGTTTGCCAGTCAGAGAAAGGTATGCCCCAACTATGGACTGTAAGGTGTATTGAGAAAGATACTTCTGAAAGCGCTGTGTGGAACTGTAGAGCATTTCATGAAAAATTAGGAATTTGAAATTGGCTTAGAAGGTAGAAGGGTAAGATAAACATTTTCTAGACATAAGAGTAGAGCCAAGGCCTGGAGCTATTCTGAGGACTACAGTGGGAACTATCATTCTGGGACAGCTCCTGCCAGTTTTTCTTAAGTGCCTGCTGTTGCTGGGCTGGCACTTGGAGATTCAGAAAGAACATAGTAGATGTCAATAGGGCTGGAACCAGACCGAGCAAAGGTAAGTGACATTGATATTCTCATCCTTAAAGACCTCTCAGCCATTCCTTAGCCTCCTCCATTCCTTCAAAGCAACATTCACTGATGATGTCCATAGGGAAGTCTGATCAAATTAGAGAAGAACTAGTCCTCTCGTCCACTGGTCACTGGGGAGTATGTAGTTATTGCTGTTAGTTGCCTACAGAAACAACAAAAAAAAAATTGTTTGGCTTTATTAAAAAAAAAATCTTATTAAAACTTTTCTACTGAAAAATTTAGAATTCAAAGTAACTAGAAGAGTACCATTGGATTGTTCATACCATAAAGGGGTATGCTTGAGGGGATGAATAGCCAATTTTCTATGAAGTGATTATTATGCACTGTATGCCAGTACCAAAATATCTCGTGTACCCCATAAACATATACACCTACTCTGCACCCACAAAAATTAAAAATAAAAATAAAAATAAAATAAAAATTAAATTAAAAAGAAATTAAGAAAAAAGAACACTGGAATAACAGAGATTGAATTTAAATTTTACCTAGCTCTTTTTTTTTTTTCCTTTCTTTCCTTTTTGATGTGGAGTCTCACTCTGTTGCGCAGGCTGGAGTGCAGTGGCCGGATCTCAGCTCACTGCAACCTCCGCCTCCTGGGTTCATGCCATTCTCCTTCCTCAGCCTCCCGAGTAGCTGGGACTACAGGCGCCCGCCACCATGCCTGGCTAATTTTTTATATTTTCAGTAGAGACAGGGTTTCACCATGCTAACCACAATGGTCTCTATCTCCTGACCTCAGGATCCTCCTGCCTTGAACTCCCAAAGTGCTGGGATTACAGGCGTGAGCCATCATGCCTGGCCTTTACCTAGTTCTTATATGTGAATACGTATATGAATTTATCACTTTGGGGATCCTTTTATTTTTTTGCAGGTCCTAGGAAGAAAAACTAATGAATTCTTGTGGGTTCATCTAAGGCTAAAATTAGGTGTTTTTATCTAAGAGCCCCAGTGAACACCAATTTCTAAGTTTTAAGTCTGGTTCCAAAAATATTATCACCAAATAGCCAAGAACAATATATACCTATAGAGAAACATTGCAGGGCCCACATAAGGCTATCCAGATTGTAATGTCAGTGCTGCTATAAGAAGTTCAGAGACAACTTAAATGGCCATCAATTTAATAGCAAGACAAGGGAAACATGAAGATTGAAGTCATAGCAACCCTAATTTCAGCCAAATCACATTACAACATTCCTGTGACTGTTAAAGCTTATTCCGCTCACTTTCTCCAAAAGTAATTTAACAATTTTTTGAGGAGTTCATCTCTATGGATACTGTTCTCCTTTAATTTACTTTATCCATCAGGCTAAAAATAGAAGATGTCGAGCTTTAAAAAAAAAGTGTGAAGTTGAAAATCAATGGAGGTGAGGTGCTGGTTTTTAAAGGAACACTGTCAAGCCCGATGAGCAGGAGACTCAACACACAAAAACCTTAAAAATATCATTTTTTTAAACACCTTCCTATTTCCTTTTCTGTGAAATTGCTCAATGTCTACACTGTAGGCTGCGACTTTGTGAAACTCTATCTCGCTTCTGGGCACCCAGCCAGAACCAATCAAAATCCCTTGAATATTTGTGACATTTGGCAAGCACACCTTAGTACTCCGTGCAATTCAAATATTTGTCCTCCCTCTAACTAATTTCCCTCTCCCCCAGTTGGGTGAGGACCATTGTTTTTAGTCATTTTGCAAACCAAGTGATTTCATCAGCAAGCTTGTGTCTCCCTCTCAGCAAGCATGGGTCCCACTCACAGGCCAGGTGAGAGCTTCTGCAGTGCAGAAGATGGCACACAGGGCACTCCCCGGCAAAAACAAAAACAAACAGGCCTGAAATTCTGCACTTGTGGAAATGACAGATTCCTTGCTGCGTTGAGGAATGTTTTACTGAAGGAATTGGCCACAGTCGAAATAAGAAAAGAAAAACTCTTTGGATTAATAAATTATTTATAATAATGTCTTGAGTATTCTCTTAGTTTTGTCAAGCTCTTCAGAAATAGTCTTTCCCTCCTCATTGCTGGTGCTTTCTAGTAAATGTGAAGCAAGAGGACGGACTTAGGACAGATAGGATTAACTGCTTTTTGTCCAGCCTTTGTGGACAAGAGAGGGCCTGGGTGAGGTGGGCACAATGGACTCTCTAAGGAATAACAAAATGGAAATTCCCGAAGTGTGTAGACACAGCATGCTGTTGTCGAAAGTAGAGATACCTTCAGTCAGTCTTAATTTCTTTTTATCCTTACTTGATGATATATAAGGGACTTGGATATGCTAGTTTGGTCACTTTTCAAATGTACATCGTTCAAAACCACCTTTTTAAGAAAAAGGTGATGAATGTGTGGGCAATTTCTGTCCCATCTGTGGCAGCTTTCCCATATGAAGAGGAAATCTACCCCATAAAGTGCCGTTGGAGACTATCATATGATGTTTGTAAGTTGTTATGGTTAGAAAATTTCTCTGAAAGTGGTATCCTATTCTCCAGAGGAGTAACTGAATAAAAACAGTGTTTGCAGTCCACCAGATCAATCCCTGGCAACCCAACCAAGTTCAATGCTTTCCAACTCCCAGAGATAGATACCACGGTTATTAGTTGAATACAACGTGCAAGTTCAGAAGGTTGTATAATCAAAGCCAAGCTTCTAAGTACTCAGGGTATATTTTGGTCATGGTATATCATATCTACTTTATTAAGAATCCAAATTAAGATAAAAAGGAGCAGATTTTTGATTGTGAGATATTAGGGCATAGATAGATAGATAGATAGATAGATAGATAGATAGATAGATATCAGTACAGCATAACAATAAAGGGATATGCATAGTGTTATTATCTCCATTTTACAGATGAGAACATTGAGGCCCAGAAAGCTTATATAAATTCCACAAGGTCTCATATCTAGTAAATGGTAGCGGTTGGGCTTTAAACCAAGGGAATTTGCCTGTTGATGCCAGATGCTAAATCCTGCATCTTATTTATACCTTCAAACAAGCAAGGCATTTGTAAACTTCCATATTACAAAGTTGGTGATGGGACATTCACAACCTCCTTTATATTGCTTAAGACACAGTAGAATAGTGTGAGATCATAATTGAAAATACAGTTCTAGAAGACTGAGAGATGAGAAAGTTTTTGTGTTCTAGAATAATCATGAAAGCATTATGGAAGGAAATAGAATGACTTGGAGGACTTCTAAAATTGAAATAGACAAAAGGAA